GGCAACGGCGGGCGTAATAAACAATAAAGAAAACTTGATTTTTCTAAAATTTACATTTTTTCGTGGCAGTTGGTGCGCTAATTGGCCAAGAATAAAATTTAATTTTTATTCGAAATCATTTGGCGGGTGGCGGGTGTGATAAACAATGTATAAAAATCGTCTCACCTAAAGCATCAAAACATTTTAACGTATAGTTTAAGATTAGCTAAATACAGGCAGAATATACTTATTATTTAATAAATATAATCGGGAGGAATTAACAGTTGTCATGCAGATTTTGCACTTTTTTCCTGCTAAAAGTAATAGCAAACAATCTTTTAGCCAATATTATTTCCATAAATGGGACTTAAGTACGTACTGTTGTCGTTTTCCCTTTCTAACTGCCTGTTGCCAACGTTCACAGTCTGAGTATTAATATATTGAGATTCATCGTTAATCTTTGGCAATGTAACCGTCCTGCCAAGCTCTTGGTATTCGTGCTCCTGTTCGATTGAATCTAATTGGAGACCTGTGTATTGGTCACCAACGACATCATTCCCAGACGTAGATGTTAATCGCTTCAAACAAAAATAAATCAACATAATAAGGAAAATGATTAGCAAAGCTAAAGCACCAATGCACCATTTTACTAAATTGGAAACTCCTGCAATTTTGTTTTTAGTTTCGTTACCATGAATAATTGTCAGGTTACCATGTCCTGTTCCAACAGCATTTTCAACCTCACATATCAACACAAGCCCATCGTTCAATCCGTTATTGTCTGGCAAATTCAATTTACTGTTTGTGCTGTTCAATATCTCGCACTCTTTTACTTGACCATTCGTTTCGGTTTTTTGTTCCTTTCTTGAGTTACGACAGAGTTTCCATTGGTATGATGTAATCGGGGGATAAGCTTCCACATTACATTCGAACACCGTGTTGACGGCACGTTGATTAATTTTTACTTTAGGTGTCATCAGTGAAGGAGTAGAGCAGTTGACCGGATTTGACAAATTGGTATGGTTCGCCACACACCAGAATTGCCATCTATCTAAACCTGTGACGTTTACTACGTGGCTTACAAATACTCCTTCACCGGAATTGGACTGCGCCTTAACGTCAGAATAAACAGTGACTGCAGATGTAGAACTATATTTATGAGATTTCATGATTATAATGCTGGTGGCAATATTTTTACCAATAAAAGCCGTGCAAGATATATTGAGTTTTCCACACGTTGATGTGGACATATGGATGTAACATTCTATATAAGGATTCTTGTTCAAAACTCCAACTGTAAGTTTACCGCTATTCTTAACTTCACTCCCAAATTGACATGTATAGTTTCCTTCATCTCGACCATTGATATTTCTTATGCGTAGTTCATATACGCCTTCATCATCCGACATTTTTATTTTGTACTTATCGACTCTGCTGCCATTTTGTAGGACCGTTTCTTCATTACCATAAATTTCATAACCTCGAAAAAACCATCTTGTCGTGAATTTAGAAGTATCTTCGCTCTGTGATTGAACATTACACTTGAAGATTACTTGAGGATGTTTTTTAAAAACCAATATTTGTTCTGCTCAACGGTCACTATAATTTTTCCTCCGGTGTGACTCAAAGCACATGCAAAAATTGCAATAACAACTAGTTCCATAGCTATTCAACAGGTTAAAGAAAACGAATCGGCTTTAGTAGTGAAGTATTTTCCTTGTCTGTGCCAATCAATAAGAATCTTTCGATCTTGAAAATATTTTTGTCCGTCTTTGGAATTTTCGAGCTTTGTTATTTCAACAAAATGATTAGACCACAGTATTCCGCATATAAAAGGAAGTTAAAATATAATACGGTAAGTGACAAAATAAATAATGATTAATTCGTCTTTAATTAAAATTAACAAGCGTTGTGACTCCAACAAAATTGTCTTCTAATAGATTTACAGTAATTTCGCAAATAAAAGAAAGTGTAAATACAATCAATAATACTGTAAAATAACCACTCATTAAAAGGTTAATCAGTAAATCTACTAATATTACTAATGTTTTGTCCTGCTCCTGAATAATGTGAACCCAAATGCACTAGCACTACCGAACTGATATGAGGTCAAAATTCATCAGTTTAAATAGAATTATTGGATGTCTAGAAGTCTAGAAGAAGAATTAGGCCTATTTCCAGTGGGATCCTTCTGGTGGTGAATTGGGCAGTACACCGGGAAACAATTCCCTCCTCTTTTCCGAAGAGTGTACTGCGTTATTTAACGTGCATGGGCCATCAATGCACACAGGACCAACGACTTAAACGTCTCATCCGAAAGACGGTGCACTATTATAACTTGTATTTCAGCCCTCCAGCTGAGATACAAGGAGAGGCAGCGATGGGAATTGAACCGGGGACTTTTAAGCCTGGTTCACGTCGAACTTTATCTAGGTATACCCGTCTTGAAACATGATACGATAATCCTAATTGCGTTCGATGCCAAGTTAGAGCCAGATAAACAGCCAGCCAGTTTCAGGCCGCCGACGTCACACAGTGGAAAGGCTTGTTTAATAAAACATCTACTGTATTTTACGAACCTCTAGTACCAAAGTGGTATTCGTTCAAAAAAATTGTAAACTACTGTAGAGAAGGTGTGAGTTTTCACTACCTAACCTAGCCGACCAGTACGAACCAACGACAGTGCAGCAGCGTGTTCTATCGCAATCTAAGTACTGTAGTAGATTCTCTAGGCCCTAGCTAAATTGACCTTCGATAAAAAACGAATTATTTTAATCGCTATCTAGCATTCTTCCATTTAACAAAATATTGTTTTAATTTTCATTAAAACGTCTGTATACTTTATGGACCTTTCTGTCCTGTTTTGTAGTTTTTAGATCGCCCAATTGTGTTGTTTACATGCACTTCGTGAAAATCTAGCTTCGCGGTGTCAAATAAGTTGCTGACTTCTACACACTTTTTTATTTCGTCATCGTAAACATGTGCGCTCATTTTAACGACTGGCGTTGGTGGTAGTTCGTTGAAACTGAATTAATAGCGACTATTATAGCAGAAATGGAAAAGATTGAAGTGTCAATAAATAAATACAACAGATCTGATTCTATTATTAAGAAAAATATACATTATCACTTTGAAAAACGTACGCAATCGGACTTTTTAACGTTATTATTTGGTGGATGATGCAAAGGGCAAAGTTCATTGGTAATATCGACTATTCGTAAAACGGACGTTTGCTGGGTTTTTACCCATAATATTACAAATAATTTCTGAAAACCAGACTAATGAGACTATTTCGATGCTGTTGTTAGCATTGTTGGAGTACGTTGTTGCCAGCCAGAAAATGATAATGGTGGTACAATACAACAACGCTGGCTTAGATGCTTGCGTTACGTAATCGTATCCTTGTAATCTGAGCCGACTTTACCGGTAAGCAAGTTAATTTACCGTTATTCTAGTAAAGTTAGGTAACTTAACTTAAAGCCCCATTCCCGGCAAAATTTCAGTTTTTAAGAAAAATCTAATTTTTGTATAATGTTATAAAGATTTATAAATATAATACGGAATTGCTAGTTTAAATGAATTTAGACATTCCTAAGAATGAACAAAATGTAAAATAAGATTGAAATTTGATTTTTTTTGTGTTCCACACAAAAAATAAATGCGGATGAATTTTTCATGTTGATTTTGCGATAGGTCGTGAGAAGAAATATCGTAGGCGCCGAAAACATTAGCCTATCCAACGCCTGTCTCTTATACACATCTAGATGTGTTTGAATAAATATAATATAAATCATCAAAGATACATATATTTAAACACTGTATATGTACCTTTGATGATTTATATTATATTTATTCAACAATGTTAACGGCTAACTCCCTTCAATATCATATAATATACGACAGTATTTCTAGCTGTATAGCCAGATTTATCTGACTGAACGCCCTCTTGAGGCGTAGCATTGTGTAGTACAATGTTCCTGACGGTTATTTGGACCTGTTCAACCATGAAGCATTCGTGGTCTAGTGGTTATGACGCTCGCCTTGTCAGCGAGAGGTCGCAGGTGCGAATCCCGTCGGAGGCATTTTATTACACAATGACTTTTATAGGACTTTATTCGTTGAAAAGCTACAGGGTAGCCTACGATGTTCCATCTTGTCCTTATTTAAACACTGTATATGTGTATGTATATGTATTTACACATCTAGATGTGTATATATATATATATATATATAGTTCCAGCCATACCTATTGTGTAATAAAGTGTATTTTACGCTATTTGAATCTCTTTAATCATAAAGCCTGTGGTCTGATAGTTATGATTCCTGTCCCGTCAGAGGAATTTTATTACACATTTTTTTTAAATTTATTTATAGGACAACATTCGTTGATAGCTATACTACACGATGTATTTATGTCCTTTATTTGAACGCTGTATTTACCTTTCTTTAATGATTTATACATATTATATAGGAAATAAGTTATAGTCTTACATTAAGACATTTAGAATAATAATAATAATTTATTTGGATATTCACTTTTGAATCAGTGGCACTCAACCACAGGGGTGGTGCATCCTAACAACAAGAAAAAATATGAAAATTACAATCAAAATGAAAGACATCAAAACAACAAGATAATCAAATTAGCAAAAACTAAAAGAGAAAATATCTCTATTTTCTCTATGACAAGAGGAACATCAGTATCTAGATGACACGTCTCTCTCCTGCAACAGTCGTACGGAAAACGGAACGCCCACCAGAGACACCCATTAGCCAATAACCTGATCGGAACAGGGCTGTTACAACCAAAAACGCACTCCCGCACAGCTACCACAAAAGAGAGACCTGTCACTACAGCTGTACAAAGTGTAAAAAAGTTTTAAAAAGTCAAAACAGCTAACAACAATCAAACCCAGTGCCTTACAGTAGGAGCCATCAATTAATAAACAAAAAAAAATTTTATTTAATTTACATTTTTTTCGTAGCGGTTTGTGCGCTAATTGGCCAAGAATAAAATTTAATTTTTATTCGAAATCATTTGGCGGGTGGCGGGTTCGATATAACAATGTATAAAAATCGTCTCACCTAAAGCACCGTGTAATTCAAAATATATTAACGTATAGTTCAAGATTAGCTAAATACAGGTAGAATATACTGAGGGTACTTATTATTTACTAAATATAATGAGGAGGAATTAACAGTTGCCATGCATATTTGTCCTTTTTCCTGCTAAAAGTACTAGCAAAAAATATTTTAGCCAATATTTCCATACATGGGACTTAAGTACGTACTGTTGTCGTTTTCCCTTTCTAACTGTCTGCTCTCAACGTTCACAGTCTGAGTATTAATATATTGAGATTCATCGTTAATCTTTGGTAATGTAACCGTCCTACCAATCTCTTGGTATTCGTGCTCCTGTTCGATTGAATCTAATTGGAGACCTGTGTATTGGTCACCAACGACATCATTCCCAGATGCAGATGTTGATCGCTTCAAACAAAAATAAATCAACATAATAAGGAAAATGATTAGCAAAGCTAAAGCACCAATGCACCATTTTACTAAATTGAAAACTCCTGCAATTTTGTTTTTAGTTTCGTTATCATGAATAATTGTCAGGTTACCATGTCCTGTTCCAACAGCATTTTCAACCTCACATATCAACACAAACCCATCGTTCAATCCGTTATTGTCTGGCAAATTCAATTTACTGTTTGTGCTGTTCAATATCTCGCACTCTTTTACTTGACCATTCGTTTCGGTTTTTTGTTCCTTTCTTGAGTTACGGCAGAGTTTCCATTGGTATGATGTAATCGGGGGATAAGCTTCCACTTTACATTCGAACACCGTGTTGTCGGCACGTTGATTAATTTTTACTTTAGGCGTCATCAGTGTAGGAGTAGAGCAGTTGACCGGATTTGACAGAATGGTATGGTTCGCCACACACCAGAATTGCCATCTATCTAAACCTGTGACGTTTACTACGTGGCTTACAAACACTTCTTCTGCGCCATCGGACTGCTTCTTAACGTCAGAATAAACAGTGACTGCAGATGTAGAACTATATTTATGAGATTTCATGATTATAATGCTGGTGGCAATATTTTTACCAATAGAAGCCGTGCAAGATATATTGAGTTTTCCACACGTTGATGTGGACATAGGGCTATAACATTCTATATAAGGATTATCGTTCAAAGTTCCAACTGTAAGTTTACCGCTATTCTTAACTTTATTCCCAAATTGACATGCATAATTGCCTTCATCTCGACGATTGATATTTCTGATGCGTAGTTCATATACGCCTTCATCATCCAACATTTTCATTTTGTACTTATCGACTCTGCTGCCATTTTCTAGGACCGTTTCTTCATTAATATCAATTCCATAACCTCGAAAAAACCATCTTGTCGTGAATTTAGAAGTATCTTCGCTATTTGATTGAACATTACACTTGAAGATTACTAGAGGATGTTTTTCAAAAACCAATTTTTGTTCTGGCTGAACGGTCACTGTAATTTTTCCTCCGGTGTGACTCAAAGCGCATGCAAAAATTACAATAACAACTAGTTCCATAGCTATTCAACAGGTTAAGGAAAATGAATCGGCTTTAGTAGTGAAGTATTTGCCTTGTCTGTGCCAATTAATAAGAATCTTTTGATCTTGAAAACATTTTGTCCGTCTTCAGAATTTTCGAGCTTTGTTATTTAAACAAAACGATTAGACCACAGTATTCTGCATATAAAAGGAAGTTAAAATGCAATAAGTAACAAAATAACTAATGATTTTTTGGTTTTCAATTAATATTAACAAGCGTTTTGACTCCAACAATTTGATTACCTTGTTTAAATCTCAGTAATGTTCTAGTAGGTTTTGTGATTGTTAATTGTAATTTTCCTAGACTGAAACCAAGTAAGTATACGTACTTTATATGTTTACTTACTTGAAACGTTTACTTACTAGCAGTCCAGCACTGTCAATGGAGCTTCATCAGGAAATGAAGCTTACTGGTAGATTAGCGACGCTATTTTAAACTTGAAGAGCGTCCGCTGCTGCCAGATGCCAGTAAAGCAAAACATTCATTTCTAAACAAAGAAACAATTGTATAGATTGATCCCATGGTAATAAGTCTTCTGTCTCTTATACACATCTAGATGTGTATAAGAGACAGTATTTCCATACATGGGACTTAAGTACGTGCCGCCATCATTCGATATTTCCACTATGCTGCCATCTTCTCAGACCGTTTTTTTTTATTAACAGAAATGGTATTACTTTGAAAATACTATCTTGTCGTGAGTTCAGCAGTATCTTCGCTTCGTAATTAAACATTACACTTTCAAAAACCAATATTTGTTCAGGCTCAACTGTCGCTATAATTTTTCCACCTGCGTGCCTAATGCCGGGCACTCACTGCGTCGTACGACGACCCTAACTCCGCTCACTGTGAGTGCTAGGCGACGCTACGCTACGTTGCCCGCGCGCCGTGTCGTTGCATATAATCGCGTCGGCCGAGGACCGTAGGGCGCAGTGAGTGGCCGGCTTTAAAGCACATGCAAAAAATTCCGATCCAACTTGTGTCATAGTTACATTGTTCAACAGAATAATGAAATTTGACTGCTTAAATAGTTAAGTCTTTTTCTTGCCTACGCCGATAAATAGGAATCTTTTGATCTTGATAATGTTTTTGTCCGTCGTCAGAATGATCGAGCTTTGTTACTCCAATAAAACGATTAGACTTACAGTATCCGCAGTTTAAAAGAAATGTAAATACCACTAATAACAAAAATAACGACTCATAAGATTTCGCCTTACAACTTATTTTGGCCCTTTTAGTAATAATCTGTCCAGACCCAGTCTTCAGAATAAGAGAACAAAACTAAGTTTTGCATACTTCAAAGGTGCAGGATTTCACTGAATGCATCATCACTTCCACTTTTTTTATTCTACATGTTAACCATTGGTCATTATGGTAGCACCACCGAGATTTTCTTAAACGAAATATGGGAGTACTGTCGTTTAGCTTAATGGTCCCATAGAGTAAAAAATGTTGCATGTTTATTTTGTTTAAAAATATCAATATATAAATTTCGAGTAGGCCTAATACAATTAATCAGTTATAGTTGGTTGAAATTTCTTCAATTCTAATGTTAAACTGAAGACATTCTAGACCGAAAATAAGATGAAAAAGCATTGTGTATACCTTGCAAACTCATCACGTGTCTTGAAGATATTTAAATACTTTATATCTGATAGGCCTATTATTATCAAACTTATATGAAAGATGAATTTAATCATTGACTGCGTTCTCATCACATTTTGATGATGTTATTAATACTTTTTACCTTCTATATTAGTTATGCTATGGTTAATTGCATAGGTGCCCCAAACGAGATTCAAGTTAGACAGCACTAGTCCTTAATGCATGTCAATGGTGAACCATATAAATCAGCTATCACGGATCATGCTATTCATTATTCACAGTGAATGCAAGGTCTTCCGAAGACAAGTCAAATAAAGCATTTAGATCCGTAAAACAACGCAAGTCGTGAACATGGACACCGGTTCACACGAAATATCCCACCTTTATAATAACCTATTACTATCAGTAACGGGGCGACGGTTTAAGAAAAAGAAAAATCATCTAAAGTTAGATGGCGTATCACACCGCGTATATTGACCTGAATTTGGAGTTAATGCTTGAGAAAGGATATCGATAGTGCATCTAAAACGTTGCAGTATTTAACACATTGTTACAACTGGTTAAACAAAAGAAAATTATTTAAAAAAAAATCTAATCCGTCTTGTGGTAATGCAATAAATATGTAAATGAATTTTAAACGTTAAAGAAGAGGAATTTTCGAGTGTAAAAAATAGATGCTCTAACCAGGATCCCAACCCGGGACCTTCTGCTGTGTATGCAAACGCCTTAACCAACTAGGCTTTGTTGGGAATTTGAATCCGATTAAAGTATCTCACAGAGTACGTAATTGAATGCTGATTGGTCATTTTGTTACCCGGAAGTCAATGCAAGCCCCCCCCCCCCCCCGCAACGATTAAAGCCCGGCTTAGAAAAGTTAAACACGGTGGCACGCCAGGCCTTTTTACTATAGGAACACACACAGCCCGGCTTGAGAGCCACCTAGTTCAGACTGGCAGGTGGATAAACCAGGTGACTTGAGCCGGATTTATCCACCTAGTCTGAACTAGGCCATTGTGTTTGCTCTGGAAGTTTCGCTTTGCCGTCACTACTACTGTATAAATACATTTACATACACGTGCTCTAAATCACATAAAGCTCTGGAAAATTATTTAGGTTCGCACTGATGATGATAATTATATTCCTGAAGCGTGTATGCTTCATGATCGGGCTGACGATTGGGCTCGCTATCAAGCTTAAGATTAAAGACAGTTTGTTGTATAATTAAATGCCTCGTGTAGTTTTTAATTTTTACTTAATTTTTGTGGCATTATCTATGACATTATATATTTTTTTATTCATATTAGCTTTTTACAATTTATTTGTACAGTACTGTATTGTGATTGCATGCTTTTACCTTTTTACCGTACAATTTTTATTTTCAATTAATTACCGTATAAATGTAACCCGTTCTTCGTTCCAGGGATTGTAGGCAACGGCAAGTAGTGATACATGCCGCAGTGTTGCTGACACATTCCCAGGTCTGTTTGTACAAATAATAAAATGTTTGTTCAATGTTATTTGGTTTACAGGGAAGCAGAAGCATAAACAATGAAGCTTTTATCATACGTTTAGTTTCATTATCATAGTTTCAAGATACAGTAGACTAATAACAATAAAACATTAAAGGATACATACATATTTTCTTTTTCATAACCAAAGTTTTTATTATCAATTGGTTGTGTGGTTGTGTTATTTCAAATTATGGCTGTACTAACAGAAGAGTTGATTGTGTTGTTTTACATAACCTAGGCCAGCGGTACTTCATTATTATAATTTGGTATCATTGAATAATAAATACATAAAGCCCTGTCTTAAAAATGAATCCAGTTACACAAAGTAATCAACCATACACGATATCTCTGGGAGCAATCCATCATACATGAAAGAATTTGAAAAACATATTTTTGGTTTTTGGACGCAATATGTTACTATTGCTCGCGAATTTCCGCCATCCGCTATACACGAATATTTTTGTCTTATAAATCTTTTCTTTCCGTTTCATGTTTAGTGATTTTTCCCTCAATTTCTCCTCACGAATATGAGTCCTACAAACTATTACGACAGGCTATCGGTTTCATAAAACCATTTTTATCCTAACCATCTCGGCCTGTGCATATTTAACAAGTATTTAATTGAAAAAGTGAACAGTAGTACTACTAATGTTACTCCCCGTTTTGGTCAAAATTTATCAACTACGAATACGAAATCTAGTATCTTCATCCTAGAACCTCTTCATCAATAATGTAC